AGAAGATACTGGAGTGTGGAGCACGGAAGGGGGGCCCATCTGTATGCTAAGGCGGGACAGAAGGATCTCTACTGCCCTACAGTCTACTGGGAAAGACAGCCTGTCAGCAGGGAAGGAGCCAGTCCAGTGTAGGGCCTGAAACCAGCTGCAACCCATTAAGCTACAGGAAAAGGACGGTGTGAGTACTTCTACACCCCCTGGGCCAAACAAGGGAAAGGGCGGTCAGGTGCATTACCAAATTAGTTCTCACTGGGACTTCACTGTAGATCTTGTAATCCCTTGCCCAGGGGCACCCTCTAGATGGCTGGGTGGAAGAGGAAAGTTTCATCTGGGGTCTGAGGAGGTATACCAAAGGGGACTCAGAGCTCCTTACTAAAAATGTAGCTGATTTTTGTTAATTTTTGCTAAGAAGTTGTCCTCTGACATTGTGCAGTTCCTTGGGCATCCCATATACTCCTGGACCCCACCCAAGTTGTTAACCTCTAATAAAAACAACAAAACCAAGCTCAAGGACTGTTTTACTTCTGAAAGTGTTGGAAAATAAGTGTTGCCTGGTTGTGCAGAGCTGAGGGAGGACTTAAAAACTCAGCGGCCCTCGAGAGGGTAGCGCTACACACCAGAGTTTAGTATCAGTTTCATTTCACCTTCCCTATTGACTGCAATGCATTTATTCAAAAATGGCAACAATTACCAAAATCTACTCATTTTTGTTAAAAATTCCAGGAAGTGAAAAAGTCTCAGTTTCTTGTATCCTTTCTGAATAAGCACAGAGATAAATCTTTTAATGATCTGGCAGAGAGAAAATACAACAGATACCATTATTATTATTAACAGAACACACTGCATTCATAAGCATATCAGCAAAGTAATAAAAAGAGCTGAACTAAATCAGACAACGGGTGTCCTAATAATTCTATCAGATATGAAATACCATGCACCAAGGACATGGGAGTAACTGAGCCTACATGTCAGATTTAATGACGATCATGGAGTGATTTTAATGGAGGTTATCCAACATTTTACAGAACCTTGGTTTCCATACAGAGGCCACATACATCTAGGTTTTGAGCTGGCTATTGTAAATGGCTTATAAAAAAAAAAAATCAAATAGATTCCCCTATCCACACATGTGAGGTGCAAGGAGGAGGAATCCTCCTCACTGTGCCATTGTATTCTGACAGCAAGGACTCCTCTGCTATCAGAATACACTGATCAGGGGCTGCAGCCATTGATTTATTATTATTATACAGGATTTATATAGCACCAACAGTTTGCTCAGCGCTTTACAATATAACGGGAGACATGACTATTGCACCAGAGATAGGCTCGTCCACTTCCCCATTACCACCATTACCGTTCCGCACCAACCCCCTTCCCCTTAACCAATTATACTAAAAAAAGACATGACACCAATTTTGGAGTAAATGGCCAACATGGCCTTTTATTAACAACTCAAGTTACAATACACCAACCATTCCTTATAACAGAAACCCAAAGAATTGTTGTTGGTCTTCGAAGACACCCCCAAATGATCCGAAATGCACCTGCGGACAACCATATACACTAGGCCTCCAGCCGCAACCAACCAGCTTGGAGACAACCATACCGTCCGCAGTGCAGCACCACCACCTTCCAGTTAAACCTTGGTTAACTGGGAATGTCCCCAGGCATCCCATACCACCGATGGGTCCCACACCATTGTTGTTTACCTTCCAAGATAAGAACCGCCTCCAAAGACCAACAACCGCCCATGAACCAACATAATCCCCCCTCTACCTGGAGGGACCCAAAAAACTCACCCAAACAGGGAGGGCGGGAGGGAAGCTCACACTCCTGCCGTCCAGCTAAACTGACGCCCCCTCACAGAACCTCCCACCCTAAGGTGCAGCAAAACCCCACCTACACCAACCTCTACCAATCAGCTACCCCCCACTATCAATAACAAATCCACCTGGAGCTAACCTTAACCCTTTCTGCTCTTCTTTCCCCCACTCTGGGCCTAGTCATGTATGCCCTGCGCTATTTCTTCTTTATTTTCGCTACGGGCATTTCTATACAGCAACAATACAGTTCAATACAAGAGGGTTAGGAGGGCCCTGCTCCTTGGACCTTACAATCTAAGAAGATGGACAAGTTGTTCAACAGTTCCATTGGCCAAAGATGGATTGAAATTGAGACACTACCTGCTGGACTGGGCAAATTTCAAACCATCTATGGGCAGTTGTAGGCATCATGCACGCACGTTTTAACGCAGTTAGGGGCATCTGGCGTTTTTTTCTGCCTCTGAATGACCCTGCATGTCCATGCACACATAGGCGTTTAGAGGCAGAAAAAAAACCTACTGCCAGCATGTGCAGGAGCAGTAGTGTTTAGGCAGAAAATGCAGAAATGCCTGACGCATGTAAACGGTAGGCATGCCAGGAGCTTGAACATTAACTAATTTCAAAGGCCAGAATAAATGAATATTCTAGCCAATGAAATTAACGTCCAAGCTGTCTAAATGTGTCAAGATGCGTTTACAAGCATCAAGAGTTTTTTCTACTAACACGCTACTGCCAGGAGAAAAGGCTTCTAAGAGAGATGGGCATGGGAACTTAGTCTCAAGAACAGTGGTTATTTTTTTTTATTATATATATATATATATATATATATATATATATATCTCCTAGATTGTAAGCTCGAAAGAGCAGGGCCCTCGATCCCCTCATGTTTTGCATTGTATTGGTATTGTTCTGTCACATGTTCTGTCCCCCTTTGTAATGTACAGCGCTGAGCGAACTATTGGCGCTTTATATATACTGTATAATAATATATATATATATATATATATATATATATATAAAGCAGAAATATGGGTGGAGTGCACAACGATGATCAATCACAGTGTATAGCAATCAGGCCCTCCCAAAGGCCATATATAGAAAAAAGAAAGTTGGATTGCTGGATGGTTGTTGAAAAATCACCATACAAAAGGTTGATCCAAAAAAATGGACAAAAAGCTATACATCATAGTGTGATCACAACTACGGTTGTGATCACAAGTTTGCATACCCTGGCAGAAATCATGAAATGTTGGCATTGATATTGAAAATATGAATGATCTTGCAAAAAAAAAATCAGCCTTTTATTTAAAGTTCCATTACCTTGTTACGCAGGTCTTTTGATGGTACCTTTCTGCTCCCCATGGCGCAGTATCTAGCCTGCTCGGTGCATCCATATGAGAGCTAACAAACTCAAGTCACAGATGTGGGAAATTAACCCTTAATTGCCATTTTAACCTTCTGCACATAAAAAAGTTTTTTTTAAATTGTGTTTTTAACACAAGGATAAAAATGATTTATATCAAGATGATCTCTATACGCATACAGTATATCTATTCCTCGGATACTCGGGGCTCTCCCAAATGGGCCACAGGGGCCACCCGAATCATTTTATAATTGTGGATATCTGAATATTCCCCAAAAGGTTGTTTTGATTATAACGATGAACAAGGGCACATATAGACAGGGATGTTCAAAGTGTACACCAGGTCATGCCTCATGGACCATAAGAACTCACAGCACCACAATCTGAGGGAATCCACACCAGCCCATCAGTATCCAAGGCCCACCGGAGTTCTGGCTGGGAAAAAGCAGCAAACTGTAATCTTGTTTTTAAGTTTGATTGAAGATTTATCTATTTGTCTTTTTACTCCTCTATGTTACTATATCACCTTTGTGCAGAGTCTTTTCCCTGAGGAAGGAGTACAATTACTCTAAATTGCGTCGGATTATTATAAAACCATTTCCGTAACCAAACAATATCTTTTGATGGTGATGATTTTTGGAAAATTGTTGGCATTCTATATCTTTTATATGTGTGAAAATTTGATGGAAAATAAAGACTTCATTCGTTTTTAAGTTTGTGTATGTATGCCTTAATAGTCCCACTTAACCGGGGGGGAGAGTTCTCCTATATTTGCTCAATATTCTGGGGACGGTGGCTGTTTATCAGGAATTCCTTTCTTTTTTCTTTCCCTTTAAACATATGACACCAGATCCAGTGATGGATTTTTCTGTTTCGGATAGAGTAAAGGAGGGTTATAACATCTTTCAGTTTCTCTTTTTTGCCATCTGTGTCGGATTGGGGAGATTTTCCTTTAATTTTGTGTTCCATAGCTAAACAGGAAATGAGAGGAAATCCCTGCAAAGTGAGGGAATCATTGGTTGTCACAAAAATGAGTGCCCCATCTGATGATTTCCCCTCTATTCCTGTTCTGGTGAAAATCAAAGTGTGGGATTTTTAACTTTCACTCTTTATGGTAAGAGTGAACAGGACATATAGAGAGGGTGATTCTTTTCAACATGGATGCAGACAACAATAAACACCTAACAGGTGTTGCAACCCCTCTCCACTCTTTCCAGCTCATTTTACATTCTGGAGATTGCTGTGAGCAGGTAGATGTATTTCATTGCAATAAAAGGCCTTCCTGCTAGCAGTATTTACCAGTGGAACTTTAATATCCGTATCAGGGGCGGACTGACCATTTGGAAACTCAGGCACCGCCCGAGGGCCCGGGGGGGCCCCCATGAGATGACCCTGGTACCTTTTTCATAGGCTTTTTTGAGTTTGGGCAAGGACACAGGGGCCCCATGATCCCCTGTTGCCTGGGGGCCCCATGAGTTGTCAGTCCGCCCCTGATCCGTATTGTTTCTGCCTGCTCTGCAGTGATGTGATCTTCCCAAGCACTTGATTTAGAAGCATGCATGGTTTGAATTGTTACTGCATTGCATGGTGAATCTGATTCCTACTGGAAACCCTTTGCACATTCTTTATTAATTCACAGATCAAAGCAGAGGATCAATTAGAAATCCTAGTCGGCCATGCCTGAATATAAAACGTTTCCTGTGCTGCAGAACAATAAGCAGTGTGACTGGTATGTCATATTAACAAGTCGTCCAAATGTAAAACTCTTGTGAAAACTGCGTAATCCTGATAAGTAAAATTAAAGTGTTACTAAACCCAGGACCCTGCATTCACTATATCTGCTCTCCCCAGACCCTGCATTCACTATATCCGGTCTCCCCGGACCCTGCATTCACTATATCTGGTCTCCCCGGACCCTGCATTCACTATATCTGGTCTCCCCGGACCCTGCATTCACTATATCTGGTCTCTCCGGGACCCTGCATTCACTATATCTGGTCTGGTGCATTCACTATCTGGTCTCCCGGACCCGCATTCACTATATCTGGTCTCCCGGGACCCTGCATTCACTATATCTGGTCTCCCCTGACCCCGTCACTCCCCGGACCCGCATTCACTATATCTGGTCTCCCCGGACCCTGCATTCACTATATCTGGTCTCCCAGGACCCTGCATTCACTATATCTGGTCTCCCCGGACCCTGCATTCACTATATCTGGTCTCCCAGGACCCTGCATTCACTATATCTGATCTCCCCGAACCCTGCATTCACTATATCTGGTCTCCCACAGTACACAGAACATGGAAATGCAATTACTTTAGTAAATATAAACTGCTGAATACCTTTTCTCATCAGCAGTTACATCAGTCTTGTGACTTCTATCAGTGTTCACCTAAGCACTAGCTAAAGCTTGGGGGAAGAGTTTTCTTTCTGCTCTAGGAGGATACAGATCCACTGACTTCTGTCTGGACAGTGCTGATTGGCCCTGTGCTGATCACATGCACTCTCCCAAGAAAAAATGCACTCTCTCTAGCAATACACACCAAACTGAGCATGTGCATGCCTACAGTTCAGTCTGGAGATAAGTGTTGGTTGCATGAAAAAGGGGAGGAACAGCGAAGAAAGGATCAAACATCCTTTTTACACAATGCGGAGGATTAAGCCCTTAGGTTCCACAGTGAGTATAACAAGCATGCTTTACTGAACATACAGACTGATTTTACTGTTGTGGGTTTAGTAACACTTTAAATAATAGAAAACAGTCCTGGCACTTGCAAAATTAATTTTAAATAAGTCCATATTTGGGGTGTAACATGTAACATGGTATAAATAGACCGGCCAACGTTCCCCTGCTTTGACAGCTAGAAGGGGATCTTCTCCATCTGCCTGGCAGCATCACTCATTTACAGTTCTCTGTGAATGAGAAACTACAAGTCCCGGCAGCCTTACCGGCTTGTAGTTCTTTAATACACTACCACAGTGCTGTAGAGTGCCATGGTAGTTCATTGATTCTTCCTGTCAGTATATCTGCTTGCCTGTACATCCCTTATGAGCAAGCAGATACACTGACAGGTCTGCAGGAGACCTGCATAGCACCAGTGATGGTGCCATGGTTTAGAGCAGTGATGGCGAACCTATAGCATGCGTGCAAGGGCCCTCTCTGTTGGCACGCTAGTCAAGTCACCCCAGCAGCTGAGCATTGGATAATGGTGCACATAGGGGCCAAGAAAGGGCGGAAAGGAGTAGTGGCGCCAGGCGATGATGTCACGTGCTGCGACTCATTAGCCGCAACTCATCCGAGCTTTCGTATGGTTGGTTAGTGCCTGTCAAAGAAATTATATATATATATTTGCTTGGACTAGCTGTGATTTTAGCAGAAGCCCCCACAAGGTAGGAAATGCACTCAGATGCCCTTTTCTGAGCAGGCCAAAAGCTGGTGGTCGGTGGAACACTGCCCTTTTGTGCTAGTGGTCAGTGTAACTTTGCCCCCTTGTGCTAGTGCTCAGTGGAACTTTGCCCCCTTGTGCTGGTGGTCAGTGGAACGTTGCCCCTTGTGCTGGTGGTCAATGGAACCTTACCCCCCTGTGCTAGTGATCAGTGGAACTTTGCCTCCTTGTGCTGGTGGTCGGTGGAACTTTGCCCCCTTGTGCTGGTGGTCAGTGGAACTTTGCCCCCTTGTGCTGGTGGTCAGTGGAACTTTGCCCTTTTGTGCTAGTAGTCAGTGGAACTTTGCCCCCTTGTGCTAGTGATCAGTGAAACTTTTCCCCCTTGTGCTGGTGGTCGGTGGAACTTTGCCCCCTTGTGCTGGTGGTCAATGGAACTTTACCCCCCTGTGCTGGTGGTCAGTGGAACTTTGCCCCCTTGTGCTGGTCGTCAGTGGAGCTTTGCCCCCTTGTGCTGGTCATCAGTGGAGCTTTGCCCCTTGTGCTGGTGGCCAGTGGAACTTTGCCCCCTTGTGCTGGTCATCAGTGGAACTTTGCGATAAATAAGTGGGTTTTGGGTTGCAGTTTGGGCACTTGGTCTCTAAAAGGTTCGCCATCACTGGTTTAGAGGCTCCTGCAACAAAAAATACTAAATGCACATTTTTTTACCTGCAAAAAAATATGCATTTATTATTTTTTAGCAAAAGGTGAACTTATCCTTTAATTTCTGAGACTCTTCTGCAAGCTTGTCCGTCCGCCTGAACATTGGAACATTTGCCACTGTCATCGAGCACGTGTGTGCCACGCAGAATGACTACATATGTGCAAAACAGACTACACAGTCATGAATGCTACAAGCTCTTTGCATTAATCCCTAGTGACAATCCATCTTGTATATTATTCTATTTATTGAGAGTTCAGTGTCAGATCTGAGAGTTATGAAGGTCACTAAGGACACACAGGGAATGTGAACTCAGATAAGCTTCAAGGGTTCTTAGTAGCTGTTCCCTTGGTACTGATAGGGGCCTGAATGATTGGTGGTGGCAGTTGGATGGAAGAATGACATCTCAATTACAGACAAGCAAATAATGGAAAATCTGCTAGGCACTGATTCCATGGAGCAGCCCCATTATGGATGAATATTTGTTTTACTTGGAGTAATAGAGACATTCTAACCACTTACCGGCTCACTGTTATTTCATGGCACATTGGTTGGTGATTACCAAATCCTGGAAAATCTCTCTAATTCTGGCCATACATCCTATAATCTAATTGTACAATCTGTGGACTATCCCTTTTATGGTGGCCGCACATTTATCGATATAATCACTTAATCGATTACTCAAGAAGACTAAACTGATTGAATCAAAAATCATAAACCCCAAACCCTCTGTTTTATCAGTAAAGAGAGCTAATTGACTTCAACCATGGTACAATCAACCACGGCATAATTCTGATGACTGTTCAAGGTAGCTCAAATGCATATTTGTGTGTGCCAGAGAAATGGAATTAATACAGGTTGATCAAATGAATGTTTTTGATAAATTGTTCATTTTCAATTAATATTTTCAGTTGATTGCAAAGTGCAGAACAGTATCGTGTTTGTTGCATCTGTCAATATTTTAATTGATGATAAATCAGTTGTTTGCAATTGGTCATCTCTAGATCTATCGCAGTTTGTGTGGCCAACTTTAGGTTTACCAATGCTATGTAGTGTTAATGCAGCCATGCCCCACATGTAGCAGATTTTTAAGGCCAGGCATCCCCTGGATTTTCTGATAGAGCACAGAATTCGTAATTCCATCAGTTATGGCAAGTCGTCCAGGTCCTGAAGCTGCAAATCAGCCCCAGAACATCACACTGCCACCACCATGTTTGACTGTTGGTATGATGTTCTTTTTATGAAATGCTGTGTTAGTTTTACACCAGATGTAACAGGACACACACCTTCCAAAAAGTTATTTTGTCTCATCAGTAAACAGGATATTTGCCCAAAAGTCTTGGGGATAATCAAGATGTTTTTTGGCAAATGTAGGACGAGCCTTTGTGTTCTTTTTGGTCAGCAGTGGCTTTCACCTTGAAAGTCTCCCATAGATGCCATTTTGCCCAGTCTCTTTCTTATTGTTGAATCATGAGTACTGACCTTAGCTGAGGCAAGTGAAGCCTGCAGTTCTTTAGACGTTGTTCTGGGTTCTTTTATGACTAGATAAGTCATCATTCTGCTCTTGGAGTAATTTTGGTAGACCAGCCACTCCTGGGAAGGTTCACCCCTGTTCCAAGTTTTTTCCATTGGTGGATAATGGCTCTCACCTTAGTTCATTGGAGTCCCAAAGCCTTAGAAATGGCTTTGTAACCCTTCCCAGACTGATAAATGTCAATTACTTTGTTCCTCATCTGTTCTTGAATTTCTTTAGATTGTGGATGTTTGTGATTTTTTTTTTAGCTTGCTTCACTTTATCACACAGCTTCTATTTAAGTTTTTACTTTATTCAGCAGGTCTGGCAGTAATCAGGCCTGGGTGTGGCAAGTGAAATTTAACTCAGCTTTACAAAAAATGTGGTTAATCACAGTTCATTCATAATTTAGCAAGGGGGGGTACCTTTTCACTGCATTTTGTATTTACTCATGCTATCTTTGTTTAATAATAACATTTGTTTGATGATCTGGATCATTTAAGTGTGACAAATATGCAAAAAAAAAGAAAAATCAGGAAAGGGGCAAGTACCTTTTCACAGGTTGGTAATGCAGGCCATACCTATGACTTACTATTACACAGTTGAACATCAGGAGAACTCCTTGACTCAAGAGGCCTCCCTATTCCCAGTTGCTGAAGACACTTAACAAGGAGTCAGTGCTCCAACAGGTCAGCGGAAGGTTGCAGCCCTGAGCAGCTGGTCTGTTTCAACTAATGGGAAACCCAAGAGCTTTCCAACATCGCACTGCTCATATTTGTACAGGCCAATTACTCCTTCCCTGCAGACCTCATAAGCAATCTCACACATTCTTCAACCACATGCAGCACATTACAGATGCAAAATGTAGCACTATGGGTAAAGTCCTCCACAGCATCGGTACTGACAGTGCTTTGCAGTCTCTGTTCTGGTGCACTTAGGGGTCCCCCCACTTCCTCCAAATGAACAAGCCCTGGTGTAAGATATGCCTGAGCTTAACATCTCCACTCAGCCATGAAATACTCTCTTATGTTTGAGAATAGTCATTCTCCCTAGAAGAGGCAGACACCTGGACTTGGGTGACAGGTGGATATTTATATACCATATCTGCTCCATAATGGCTGCCAAATCTTGCATGAATGTCTTAATAGGCACAGACTTCCCCAAAATGCCCACCTAGAGCTGACTGCAGAGGACAAGTCGGTTCTTTGCAGTGTTCCTTCTAGGCCATGACGGTGCCAGAATCTTTCTGACAAGATCCTTGGAACAATGTAGATCCCAGATCTTGCAAGAAGACACTTCTGCTCTGTGGTAGAGTTTCTTCTTTCAAGATCTAGGATACTTTTCCAGGATCGTGCTACAAGGATTGTGACTTCATCCATTTCTGTGCAAGCCCCACAGGTAGTCTTTTTTTTCCAGTATTATTTGGCAGTTATACATGAAGAAGGGAAGACTTTTAGTGCCTTAAGTTTTTATTGAGGAATTTCTAGGTTCCTAATAGATCCGAGGCACCCCTGTGCACTTAGATTGAAATGTTGTGCGTCCTTTAGCTTACCGTGTTAAGTAAGTGAATCTATATTCCCAACTCCCATATCATTTCTTCTCTCTCCTTTCTGCCTTCCCTCCAATTAAGGCTAATTCCCTTTCTTACTTCACTTTCCTGCTGCCATTAATTGTTTGGCCCTTTGCTGACAGTGATCCCAAACCAAAGAACCCACT